TTATAAATAATAAAAAAAACGTGTTTATTGGGGAAGGGCAGGAATGTCAAATGGGAGGGCCTGGCCCTCCCACGGCGCCGGGCATGGCAGTACAGCGCTGTACCATCAGAGTCTGATTTATTAAAACAACAACATTGTAACTCATAAACACTTGAATGCTAGGCTACATTTCAAATGTTTACAATCCATCTCTAAATTCATGGCAAACCAATTTTAACATCATGCAATAACACTAAGACGACATTAGTTGCATTGAACTGATCTTTTTAATAAGTTGTACTTACAATGTAGTGAGAAACATGGACTTGTGCTTCACTGAGGATCTTTATCATTCTGACAGGGAGGCAAACTGCAGTTATTACACTTCGCGTTTTGAAATATGTGTAACTCTGTTCATATAAAACCCACACTGCTCGAACTTCCTTACTTTTTCTAAAATTGGTATATTTATTTATTTTGGGGCGTGGGGAATGAAGAGAAAAACATATGAGCATTTTATGAGCATGGGATTTTGACCCCTCATATAAACATATGCATAATGCTGCGCTATACTTTGCGGCCACAAGCCGTTGCCAAGCAACGCTTATTGTTTAGATCCTTTGATAAGCAGGCAGTATTCGTATAATTAGCTAGAACTAGCTGGATCTGATAGATTTGGACATAAACGCGCGAGAGAGATCAGATCAGCTGCTGCTGACTGAGAACACACAGCTCTACACGATCACAGCTCCGCCGCTGTGACGGATCGTTGAGCGGAGAAAAATACACAAGTCGTTAGACCTAACACACTTAGCTAGTTTATCTACTCTGGAACTAGCTAAACTAGTTATACATATGTGTATTCTTTACTGTCGGGTCACTCATTACAGGTTCAGCAAGCTGCACGAGACTGACGGGCTGTCAGGAGAGGAAAAGCACCCCGTTTACTTAAAGTCTTTTCCCATTTTATTATCCAGAATTACTGTAAACTTTTGAATAAAGTCATTAATCTACTATTAGTAGTTTGTGTAAATGCATTAATTATGTTTTTTTTCTTCATTAACATAAAATAAATCTCACGTACCCCTTGCAGTACCCCAACATACCCCTAGGGGTCCGCGTACCCCCATTTGAGAACCACTGCTGTAGCACATCACACACAAGATTCAACTGTTTTACGATGTATTACTGAATGGATTTAGAGCCGAGCACCTATTTACACTTAATAAACATTTAGAAATGTAGCCTTGTTATTTTCAGATTTGGGTAAAGGCCCAATACATTAAATATTGTATGGCTGTTGTGTGGTTGCAGTTTGTCAACACAAAATTCAAAGTAGACCCCTCCTCCTCCTTTATTTGTTGGGTTTTTGCGCCGTAGCTTTCACTGGAAAGTGGGCGAGGGCGTAATTTTGCCCGGAAGTTACATTAGCACTGCTCTCATCTATACATGTTTTGTGGATAATCCTACCAATTCTACCATTAAGCCACGTAGTCATCCATAGTTTGAAAGCATAACCCTGGTTCTCAGAGTAACATGAGTGAGATGTCTCACTAAGGGATGCCTCCCTGTGTATACCTCAGAAGAATCAATCTCAATACGCCAATCCTGATTGGCTGGCGATCTTGAGGACTATGTCAGGGAATCCACCAACCCTTAAAGTAGCTTGCGCTACAGCACAGCGTCATTCAAAATAAGCATCTTGCTTCGCCTCAGCAAGAAGGGCTGTCTTGTGATGCATCTCACTCACAACCTATAGTTCTCATTCATAACATTTGTTTCAATATCTCACTATGGGATATGGAGGGATATGGAGACTTTCCAGACTTTCCAGACATGCTTATATCGAAAAACCACCAGTACTCAAAGTCAACTTTAATGTCAATCTTTCAGTTTGTGTGTACAGACAGAGAGATCGAAATTACGTTTCCAACAATCCCAATACAAAAATACAATATACAGATATGTATAAAATATGTACAGTGGGGCAAAAAAGTATTCCCACTTAAAAAGATGAGAGGCCTGTAATTTTCATCCTAGGTATACCTCAACTATGAGAGACAAAATGAGAAAAAAAAATCCAGAAAATCACATTGTCTGATTTTTAAAGAATGTATTTGCAAATTATGGTGGAAAATAAGTATTTGGTCACCTACAAACAAACAAGATTTCTGGCTCTGACAGACCTGTAACTTCTTCTTTAAGAAGGCCTCCTCTGTCCTCCACTTGTTAACTGTATTAATGCAGGGTGTCTGAGGGGGTCTTAAAAGTATTAAAAGTTGATAAATAAATTTAGCGAAAATTAAAGCTATTAAAAAGTATTAAAACGGCATTTTCCAAGGTATTAAGAAGGTCCACAGCAACGGACAACATGAAACACCCTTTAATTTACTGAAAACGACATGTCGGAAACCGCCCCTCAAAGGCGGCCATGCATACGCGGCGCTGTAAAATGCCTGCTTCTTAAACACTAACGACTACGGTACACGATAACGGGTCCCAAGGTGGGTAGACCGGCAATACGCAACGCTCTGGGCGCGTCCAACGGCTCCGTGTGCAAGCCCTATATGATCATTTTCTTGATATGATGGGAAAAGCCCCGCCTCCCTCTCCCCACGTCTCCTGCTGCTGCTGGGCTGTCAGAAGAGGGGAGGAAAAGAAGAGGCAGGCACAGTTTATTAAATATATTTAATTATTTTATACAGAAGTCGTTATCAATTTGTTTTGAAGCTCAATAAATAACAAAGACGAACCTCTGACCGCGCACTTTTCTAATTTTGTACGGAAAGCATTTAAACTTTAAGGGACATGTTGACCGGCGAACATTTTTTTAACGGAAACTCTGCCGCGCACGGTCCTCGTTCCTTGGAAGGGCGGAGAGGTGGGTGTTTTTCATCTGCTGGTGGACTACCTGAGAGATATACAGCAGGGAGAAACACGCCGTCCACCGCGGAGAATAAACAGAAGGGCAACCATGGCAACCATGCTCCGGGGTCTTCTTCGCTGCTTTTGGTGT